ACAATTGATGTGTGTATGGATTGGGATAACAGTTGTATGAGCCCCTAATAAAATGTTAAAAAAGAGAAAAGAAAAAAAAAAGAAAAGAAATTACTGTTAAGGGCTTTGAGTACAGATAGGATCATAACAAAGACAGAGATTCTGTGTATATTGCCCTCAGCTTAATTTCTAAATATTCCCTTTTTTAATACAAAAACATCTTTACCTAAAGCTTATTTCCTTGTGATTATTTCCCTATTTGTTTTATAGTGGAAGACAGAAAAAATCTGTGATACCTAGAGCTCTAGTGGCATAGTGGGTTACACTTTGGGCTACTAACCTCAAGGTTAGCAGTTAGAAACCATCAGCTGCTCCATGGAAGAAAGATGAGATTTCTTTTTCCCATAAAGAGATACAATCTTGGAACCCCCCAGTGGCTGTTCTGCTCTGTCCTATATAGGGTCACCATATGGCAGTGGGTTTTATTATTTTGATTTGGTGATATGGGTAATATGGATTGCAGTTAGCTACGTTTTTTTCCTATAATTTACATCAGATCAGTCTAGACTCTGTTATACTCCAAGCATGAAGTTAACTAACCATTTGGAAAAGATATTCTAGGAGTTTTGCTTATTCAGTAGTACATGTACTTTGCAATGAGCTTACTACATGCTTAGGCCATGTGTCAATTAGATCGAACCTGGCTCAGTCATTATTTGCCAAGACATCTAGTAGTCTCCTTATCCATAGCTCTAATTTACCAGTAATATGTTAGATCTGTTCCAGCGTTCATTTGAATCCTTCCCCATGCCTCCCAAGCCCCTTACCAGGCACTGAACTTATAGTTCCATATCTTTCCTCCATATTTTCTAGTACCAGAGCATATTTTGTCATACTACCTTAAGAATTTGAGTCCTTAAGTTTTCCTGCGGATACAGAGAAATGGTACCTAGACTCTTGAAAGCTTACACCCTGGTGGAACAACAGCAGGGCATTTAAATACATACCCAAAGTTGGTGTCTCTGGCCACGAGGGCTTAGTTTAAAAAAGGCTCCATAGAATGACACGATGTTTTTGTGGAAGGAGTACTTTTTCAGAAGGTTAAGTTCAGTTCTCAGATCCTCTTCCTCATCCTGTGGAATAAGAATAGGAGGTAAAGGCATTCAACTATAATTCAATGACTAAAACTTTGCTTTCCAGTTTATTCCACTCATAAGGACTCTATAACATCCCTAAAGGGCAGAACAGAACTGCCTCAAAAAGTTTCCAAGGCTATAATCTTTAGGAAATAAGACCATCATATATTTCTCCCATGGAGCAGCTGATGGTTTGGCAGAGACCACCTTTCAGTAGCAGAAGAGCGATACACCACTGTGTCACCTGAGGTTCCAGTCAATGACTATGAGTCCTTAAGTTATAAAGACCAGAGAAGGAGAATCCAGGGACAACCATTACAACTAAAAGCAATTTATTAAAAAATCTTAAGTGGAATCATCAGCAAATGAAGTTTCTTTACAAAATTGGGGGTGGGGGGTAAGGTGAAATTTAAGACTTTTAAATTCAAAGTTCTCAAAGGGTTGGAGCAAGAACACAAGACATTCTATAAAATTTGTATTAAATTAAATCATTACACTCATTTAAATTTTATTTGCTTTAATTTATTGAAATATAATTCACACACCAATAACTCAATCATTTAAAGGGTACAATGTAAAGATTTTTTATTATATTCATAGGGATTGAAATAGGAAACTTTCAGATTATGTTGTTGAAACAGCATAAATGGTGATTCCTCATGTGTATCTCAAAAGACAGAATACATAGAAGATATAAATATATTTAAATGAGGATGGGGAAATAGATCTATGAGCCTATATTTATAGGTTTAGTATTAAGGTAGCAGAAGGATATTGGGCCTCCACTCAAGTACTCCTTCAACGCAAGAATACTTTCTTCTATTAAACTGGCATTCTATGATGCTCACCTTCCCGACATAATCGCTGAAGACAAAGCGGGTGAATAAGCAAATGTGGTGAAGAAAGCTGATGGTGCCCAGCTATCAAAAGATATAGCGTCTGGGGTCTTAAAAGCTTGAAGGTAAACAAGCGGCCATCAAGCTCAGAAGCAACAAAGCCCACATGGAAGAAGTACCCCTGCCTATGCAACCACGAGGTGTCGAAGGGATCAGAACAAAAAATCTTACCATAGTGAATGATGGGGGGAGTGCGGAGTGGAGACCCAAAGCCCATTATAGGCCATTGGAGATCTCCTTGCAGAGGGATCTCGGGGAGGAGATGAGCCAGTCAGAGTGCGATGTAACAACGATGAAAAGTACAACTTTCCTCTAAATGTCCCCACCTCCCAATACCATGACTCGAATTCGACCTTGCAAGTCTGGCTAGACCAGAGGATGTACACTGGTACAGATAGGAACTGGAAATCCAGGGAATCCAGGGCGGATGAGCTCTACAGGACCAGTGGTGTGAGTGGCGAAACAAGGAGGGTAGAGGGAGAGTGGGTAGGAAAGAGGGAACCGATTACAAGGAACTATATATATGTGACCTCCTCCCGGGGGGACGGACAACAGAAAAGTGGGTGAAGGGAGACATCGGACAGGGCAAGATATGGCAAAGTTAACAATTTATAAACTGTCAAGGGCTCATGAAGGAGGGGGGAGCAGGGAGGGAGGGGAAAAATGAGGACCTAATACTGGGGGTTTAAGTGGAGAGGAAATGTTTTGAGAATGATGAGGGCAATGAATGTACAAATGCGCTTTACACAATTGATGTGTGTATGGATTGTGATAAGAGTTGTATGAGCCCCTAATAAAATGATTAAAAAAAAAAAGAAGCTCATTATCAGCCAGACCAAGCCCAAGACCCAACTGTGTCACATACTATATATTGCTCATATGCAGTTCAAGTTGAAATTGAGGAAAAGTATAACAAGTTAAAACTTCACAAATTTCCTTTTCTTTTTTTTATAGTCCTTATGTTGAATTAATTTATCTTAAAATGGTGGGCAAGTGCAGATGTAAACTACAATCTACAGTGCATTGTCAAACAATTCAGCTCTTTTTTTTAATGTCATGGCTTTGCTTCTTGGGAACATTTCCTGTATCACTCCTGGTACTTACATGAGTCTAAGGGTGTTATTCAAGGTTAATGGTATGCATTAAACATGGTGCAAAATGTTAGAACTGTGAGATAGGGCTTCACCGTTATTCATAATTTATTGGAGAGAGTTACTTCTCAAATGGAGAGAAGTCTCACAGGGTATTTTGTTTTGATTTTTAAAAACCTGAGTAGAAATGGTTCTGTATAGTTCAAATCCATGTTGTTCAAAGGTCAACTGTTCTATGTTCCTTTCCCGCACTGAATGAATGGTCTTGTAAGTGTACACTTATCAAAATTCACTAGTTTACTTTTGAACTCTCAATTCTGTTCCAATGTTCTTTTTGTCAACTGAGCTATTCCACATTGTCTTGATTATTATTTGAGTCATGACATTTTAAAGACTTAATCTGATCTCTGATCATCTTTTTTAAAGACATAGTTTAAAGCGTTCACTTTCTTAATCACAACAGTGATTAAGTACATGGGAAACTTACATAAGTAATATGAAGTAAAATATATGAGGGCTACCCTTCCTTCCAATATTCTCCCACCAGTGGTAGCAATTTGTGTGTCCTTCCAGAGACATTTTTATGTAATAATGCAGTAGCTAGAGGTATGACAGAGATACCTGACAAATGACAAATAGAAATGTGCTTCATATATATTTAGAGATATCGATCAAATTAGTTTTTAATATAAACAAGTTCCTATTATTCTCACTACTCTACTACTTTATTTTCTATCTAGAGATAAGAGCATCTTTTTGTGTCCGTTAACACAAATGCATATCCTGTTTATGGCTCTGGCAGTTAAAGCATTCAACTACTGACAGAAAGGTTGGCAGTCCAAAATTACCTAGAGTTACCCAGGAAAACGGGGCTAATGGAGCCTTGAAAGCCATATGGAGCAGTTTTACTCTGCATAGCCGAGGCTGCCAATCATAAGAACTGACTTGAAAGAAACTAACAACAACAACTGGATTGCATAGCATGGAGACAGGGGTCTGGAGCTCCAAGGACAGTTCAAAGTTATTGAGAGTCATCTAACAGGGGACCTCAAAAAGTTTATGGGAAATGGTATAAAAAGAATGGAATTTTCCCCATAGGCTTTTTTAAAGCTCCCTTACATGTGAGTGGATGAGATCACTGAGGGAGAATAGCACCTCAATCAGAAAGAGCATCTATACTGGACAATATTTCCAAGATTCATTTCATCCTCAAAGCAACTGATGGAAAATGGTAGCTACTAGCGATCTCCATGGAATGTTTGTGGAAGCAAATGGGATATTATACATAGAGTTCTTTGAAATTTGGGCGGGGGGAGGAGGTATTATAAAACAAAGTTATCATCATACAATATCTTCATTATTTGACCTAATTTAATCCGACAGTTCAAAGTTTAATGATCTTCTGTGATGTGATTTAATAAGCTAACAAGAGAAGCAAGCATGAATTGCCATAGACTTAGTCTTGTCACAGCTGTGGCCAAAAGTAAGAGGAGTTTCCCTGGGGTGTGGCTTGTAACATCTTTTTTTTTTTTTTCATACAAGAGACAAAAGAAAAAATTGTACAGATATCAGAGAGACCTACTACCACCAAGATAGAAGAACCAGTCGTGGAGTTCACCGAGAAACTCTTGGTCTCTAGCACAAGATTGAGCCCCCCCAAACCCTTGGAGATCTCTAAGGAGTGTCAGGACTCCAGAAGCTGAAGGGAGCCAAGGACCTTACCCCAGAGCCAATAGAGACAGAAACTCTTGCCCTAGAACCCACACTCTTAATTGACTTCTAGCTGTCTAAACTGTGTGATAATAAAATTCTATTTCTCACAGCCACTCACTTGTGTTATTTCTGTAGTACCAGCACTAGATAAGCTGCTATATAGCTACATTTGATTATACTTCCAACTCTTTTAATAGATTTTATCTATGAGAAACCTAAGACCTAAAGAGGTAAGAAGATGAGTTTTCCAAACATTTTCTGGGCAATGTAGTGGTAGATTTGGGACTTAAACTCATATTTCGTTCCTTCCATATTATTGCATCAAGAAGATGTGTGCACTCACAACCTTCATATCCCAAATAATTGAAGATCCTTTAAAGATGCTGACAGTGGTTTAGAACAGGAGCTTAAAGGTATTTGTAGCTGTTTTTTTCTTTGTATACTTCAACTGTAGTTTGTATTCTTCAACTGTGTACAATCAATTTGTAGCTGTTTTCATGACTAAAATATATAATTAGATCAGCGGTTCTCAACCTGTGGGTCAAACGACCCTTTCACAGGGATCGCCCGATTCATAACAGTAGCAAAATTACAGTTATGAAGTTGCAATGAAAGCAATTGTATGGTTGGGCGGGTCACCATCACATGAGGAACTGTATTAAAGGATCGTGGCATTAGAAAGGTTGAGAACCACTGAATTAGATCATTTAAAAGCCCTTGACTAAAAACATTCCTAGGAGTTCATTTTTCACAATAAAATGTAAACTCCCACAAACAAATAAACTAAGGTCAGATATATTTGGAAAGAATTAGTATGTGTGCCTTTCCCAAGTACGAGAAACGTTTGTGAGAAACACATAAAGACACATAACCATCAGGCCATGTGAGCAATTTAAACCCTCACACATCTCAGTAAAACGATGCTATAGCATTTTCTGGCTCATGGCCAACTGATCTCAGAGTGCCCTGGATATGCTGCTTTTTGTCAAGAAGGGGCAGCTCAAGGAGATCAGAATATCAGAACTTCCTTTGTAGTTGCACCCAATTCTAGAATCAAACTTCTTTGTGGTGAAAGGGGTTTTCAATACCACTCATGTTTGATAGGACCAGAATCAGCCAAATAATTTTAGTTTTCTTATCTCTCTCAGCTTCTTGAGTGACAAAAGCATGGTATTAACTAGTTCCAGTTGTTTGCTTTGGATATGTTTTGTGTCCCAAGGCACATTATAAATAAAATAGAAACCTACTATACTTAATAGATGAATCTTGAAGCTGTTTAACAGTACAACTGGAAAATTTTTCTGAGTGGAATATTGATTGGGAAAGGGTTATTTTTCAATGTGCCTGATAGCAAGCATATCTGATAGAGCATAAAAAGTTGAAAATACTTGAATCTCTGATTGTTGACTGTGGGAGAGTAGAAGGAAGTAGATATCAGTGAATTATGAATAGTAGGAATTCTGCTTTGAAGCTTGCGGGAATATATTGATGCATCAATATCTATTAAAATGGGCAATTCTCTTTGTCTGATCTACACCTAGAACCAGAGAGCCATTAGGGTGAGTGGGACTGCAATGTAGGGCAGTTTTTAAAAAGGTTATGTAATCAAATCCTTTGTGTGTTCAAAATATTTTCATCCTCCTTCTTTGCCAGCTATATGCAGATTTTGGAGTTGAGTAGACTTCTGCTTTTCTTACAATTGTTTTTACAATGAAAAAGGACCATCTTCATTTAGCTCATATGTAATTACTATACTCCTTAAAATCACAATGGTTGGGGAGGGGAGGACAGGAGGAAGAACAATTTGTATTCAGAGCATCATGTGAGAAGTTTGGAAAGAACCTTACCATGTCTAAATTACGACAAAATTTGCTCTTGGCCCCATCACCCCCTCCGGTTGTTACCCAGGTATATATATTGTCCTGTATGTTCTGTAGTTTTACTTCATCGCTCACCTACCGTCAACACTTCTCTGTTTATGAATCCATTTTTTTCTATGTCCTGCTATATGTCAGCTGCTTGTGTTCAAGTATATTACAATATATGAGTATGTTACCATTTCCTGGTGAGAATGGTTTAGTAGTGGCCATGTAGAGATAAGAGCAGAACACACAATACAAGGGGATGATTTTAAAGCTGAACAGTAAAGGGAATGCTTAGAAGCTAAGGAGGACAGTACTCACACTGTATCGCCACCCGACAGATTTTTGGTATTTATTCACTCTCACTCGCTTTCCTATTTCCGGTAAAGGAGTCTGCAAAAGCAATAACAGCATGTTATTAGACTCAATGGCACACTCAGAAAATTATTTCCGCTTAAGTACTTTGTTCTTGTTGAGCACTCAGTCAATGCATGGTAATATTATTTGTCTCTCAATTTTAATACATAATTCTAATAAAATTCAAATTCCTGTTATATACCAAAACTTAGGAACAAATTAATACTAATAAATGTAATTTTAATGTTAATGGGGACCTTGCAATCTGATATTAGTAAATCTATTTTCCCTGACAGAATTATCTGTAGACTGAGCATAATTTTAAATATTTCAAGCGTTCAGTATTTAGAATGTGGGTCAAGTTTTCTCAAGCTAAAATAAGAAAAACAAATATCACTATTTCACTCTGACACACAGAAATATAAAGTTGGTTATTTAGAAGTCATCAGTTGTAGGGCAAAATGAATCTGCAGAAATTCAAAATATGTTGAAACTCACAGGGGTTGGTAACATTTGACATTTACTGGAGATTTTCTTTTTTTTTACAAATGCAACTCTTTAAATAGCTTCAACAATCCACTCCCTGCACAATTGGGAAGACTTTGTGACATTGAAAATAATTGAGTGAGTCTGTTTAGTTTTCAAATACAATACTTGAGAAATTTTCTTTAGAGAATAGTGAAGTGAAAAGAAAATTGACCTTTGCAATATTCATGCAAATATTATCTTGAGAAAGTGAGGTATTCATGCTAGAGAAAGAGAACAGAAATCATTGCTTAGCAAATTCTACGGCAGTATGTTATGAACCATGACACAACTTTATGAATGTTAGCAGGGACAGTGCCAATTAAACTGTCTCTCTTGCTCATCTGTCAGAAAATACATGAAAAATGTGTATTCCTGACAAGCTTTTCCCTACTACCTGTCATTGTGAATCTAATGGCCACTCTTCTCAGAAGAAATGGTTGGTGAGGGGGAAAATATTATGGAACACAGCAGCATTAGCACAATATTAGAGTAAATCTCCTATTAGTTCCCCCCTGAAAACAGGCAATAATTTAGAATTATATAGGAATACAGATCTCTTCCTTACTATTATAGGATATCAAAATATGTGCAGCTTTGATTCTGAGGAAAATCTTTTTTATGTGGAACTATCATAAATAATAAATCAACTAATTAATATAATAACATTGATATAATAATTCTAGATGTATATTAATTACATTTAAAAATAGAAATTACTTAAAAACAAGTGCACTATTTCCTGAACTGATGATCCCAGGGGCAGTATCCACTCAGGGAAAAGAATACAAGCATAATATATTACCTTACGAGCATTCATTACTTTAACAGCTGTAAACGAGCCAGTCTTTTCATGAAGGCCCTGAAACAAAGGATAATGCTAAGCATCAAATGTTTGCTAGATAATCTAGCAATCAAGCAGCAAGCAAAGTCTTAAAAATTAATCATTAATTAATTAATTAAGGTCAAACACTGTAGGACACTATGAAACAAATACTACCTAGAGATTCAAGATAAGGTATTATGTAAAGAAAAAAATAGAAAACTATCAACATTTAAAAAATACTCCCATTATTTCTCTTGGAAAAGCAAGCAAGTTTATGAAGTGAGTTGTTTGCATTACATGGGTATCATTGGTGATTTGAATTTCCTGCTTTCTAATTATCTTTAATCTCGATTTATATGGCGTCAGAACATCATATAAAATGGGAAAAATTCAGCTTTCTAATGGGGGCATGAAGAACATATCTTACTGAACAGTTATTTCAATTGGTCATAAAGTACCATGAAGATCTGTCCACTGCACCCTTCTTTACACACATAACAACATTCTCTATAATGATCACCATAAGAGTGATGCATTATTCATTCAATGGTCTCTAAATCAATATGTTCTCAGACATAGAAACCAAAGCGAATTATGGAAGGAACGACATTCTGGAAGCTTCTTTCCTCTGAGTAATAAGAATTTAGTCCTTATTCTAAATGCAAGTACAAGTTGCAGATTTATAATTTAAAGAATGAACCTACAGGTTTGGAGTCAGCTCTTATTTTGTAGCTAGTGCCTTTAAAAAAAAATCAAGCTGGAGTCAGAAGGAAATAAAAATTGTCAGCTGAAGTAAGGCTTCAATTTCAAACAGAATGTCTTCTCTGACTGTCCCCTGGCAGAAGATTTGGATCTGGGACATTCCAACCAAAGGCCTGTCACTAATAAGAGCCCGCATGTGAAAGACCACAGCAACTGTTTGTTTAAAAGGATTACATGTGGGCTGGTGCACCTGGATAGTATTGTTAATTGGTATTGGTAATACTGTCAGTATTCCTGAAAAGAAGGAATCTGTGTTGTTTAGAGATTTGCTCACAAGTAAACAAATCTGCAAGTCAGATTACTGAATGTTGGGTATGAGACACTTAAATATATTGCTAGCTTGTTATTACATCTCCTTTGTAAACCATTTACTTGACAGTATATGCAAACATTTTGCTTTTCAGAAGATGATGTGTACTGTTTTCTCATCAAGTTGATCCCATTTGATTTAAAAAAATATACTCCCACATCACCACCAATGTTCCATCTCCAGGTTTCCCCCTGATAAAATTGATAGGATTTGAACCCATCGGTTCCAGGTAACTAACTTCATTCCTAGTGAGCCACATTCTCAGAGCAATGCTTTCAGAGGTCAATGTTTATAAACGCGGCCATGTGTCAGAAATGTTCAGAAGACTTTCCAGGAAAAACAGTAACTCTAGACATGCTGGCACCTTGACTTAACACTAGTTCTTGCCAAAGAATCAAGCATTAAATAGCCATCCTGGTTAGATGGTCATAGCACAGATAGGAAGTGGCAGTAGGTTGCTGACTGCTGGGAGAGCTAGGTCCAGGCTAGAGAAGGATGAAATATAAGCAAGTGAATGTACTGAAATTGGGATAAAGTTCATTAACTGTTCATAAAGATACAAGTAAATGTGGAGAAGCAGGTAAGAAGCTTAGAGTGGGATTTGCCAACAACCCCAAATCTAGAATTTCTAAAAGAAATTAAAATAAAAATATTTTGCAGGAGGGGAGGTGAATAGAAACACAAGATCAAGATCAGTTTGCTTAACATGAAATCTTGTAAACACACCAAGGGCAAGATCAGAGCTACATGTGATATGTAAATGAGGCAAAGTTTGTAATAGTCAATCTACAAAACAATAGCACCATGCTCTAGGAATAATCTTCTCTTTCCTCAGAGAACAATACACTCCTTTGCAATCTGATTAGCTTGAGGTTGGAGTTGCATTTTTCAAGAGCGCATGATCCTGTGTTATCTTGTCATTTTTCTTAATTTTGGGAAGCCTGTTTGGATGGGGTGAGGCTATTTTTACTAGAAAGTCCAGGAAAGAGTTAGAAGTTGTTCTTTTTGTAGGATTATGATGACACCTGTAGTTGAGCAGAATTTACAAAAAATATTTGAATACGTTGGATGCCTCTCAAGTTTATATAACTCTCTGGGGAAAATTATATATTGATTTTTACTTATTTAGTCATTTCTTAGGAAACATTATTTTCCAAATTAATGATATAAACACTTCTTAATCAAAATATTCTCAGAAATGTAGGTACAAATGTAACATGTTGAAAACGCGTTGTCACAGAGTTCTTAATTAAAAATGTTAAAGTGTTTTCTTCCTTGATCCTCAAAGGTCAAAATACTGTTCTGTGCAATATTAAGTATTTGGCATGTTATCAAAGATATTAACTATACATTGTATAATTTGACTAATGGGAAGTGATGGTTAGTAAACTGTCGTAATTTTATTGTCTGGAATGCACATTCATCATACTTATGCGACACATTAGTGAGACAAAAAAATGACATTAAAAGTAGCCACCAATGTTAATTTGCTTTGTTCTGTGGCTATTGGTGGCCCCTTTTAATGACATTCTATTACCTCACTAATTTTCCGTGACTGATTCACTGGAAAATGTATATGTATCCTAATGTGGGTTGTGGAAAATAAGCTTACTTTGCCAATAGATGAATAAAATAAAAGGTTTTGGGATCAGGTAACTAATTGATATGCTAAACCATTATACAGCCTTCCATAGAGATCAGGTGCATACAGATAATAGTAAAATAGAAAATAGCTGGCAGAGTTCTCCCTTCTATCTTGACTTTTTGAAACTTTCATTTTGAAATAATTTTAAACTTAGAGACTGTTTCTATATATCCTCCACCTAGCTTCCTCTGCCAATTTCTTTCATGACCATAGTAAAATTATCAAAACATTAGTACAATACTGTAAGTAGATCAAAAGCTTTATTCAGATATCCTTAGTTTTTCCACGACTGTCCATTTTCCAGTTTTCTACATTCAATTTAACTACCATGTCTCCCTAAGCTCTTCCAATCTGTGACAGTTCTTTCTTGCTTTTCACGACCTTGTCACTTGTGAAGAGAACTTAGCAAAGTTTTGTAGCACATCTCTTAATCTGAATTTGTCTGATGTTTTCTCATGATTAGGCTGACGTTAATGGATTTTGAGTAAGAGTACCATAGAGGTGAAGTATCAAAATTACTTATTGAGGGTGATAGTACCCGTTGAGAGGGATATCACTAAGATTGAACATCTGGAAAACCTAAAAGTCATCTTCAGATAAGCTAAGTGTTCAGGGGTGCCATCTTGTAGTTCACTGACTATACGGAAACTGTCTTATGATCTTAGCTGAAAACCAAGCTGACATAAACAGAATGCCTCCCTAAAGGACATGATGAATAAAGATCTATAAATCCAGTTTCTAGGATGTCTCCTTTTAGTTACAATGTATATTTTATGACAAATTCATTTACAACATGTTCCTTGTAATGAATGCTAAGAAAGTTAGCGTTTTGATACTAGCCTGAATCATAAGTAATACTACAAATGCTACTCGTCCTAGGGAACATTAAGTTGGGAAATCACAAAGAGAGTCTTAAATTATAAATGAGATATTTTCACCTTTTTTCCTATCATCAATAACACTACAGTAACTATTAACTTCTCTGAATTAACCATGCACCGTTATGCAGTGCTTGAGTGCAAGGGACGTCTTTTAAAATGTCTAGTGTCATAGAAAAAGAAGCAAACTTGCTGGATTATCTTTCCTATAATAAGAAAAGAAATTGCTGCTTCAGCCTTTGTGCAAGTTCGTAAGCCCTCCTGTGTTTGAGGAGCAGAAGGCAAAATACAGTGCCATTCTTAGCTTGAGATCAAGAAGTCGACCATGTTCATCTCAGTCCACTTGTTCTCTTGTCACAACATTCATTCAACTCATTCAAGTCTTGTTCTTCATATATGCAGCTCCTATAATATGACTTTAGGGGCAACAGAAGGTCAACCACTCAAAAAAAAATCCTTCCACTCCATAATCCAATGCAAAGCATAAAAATAATCTATTACATTTTCCATTTTATGAAGGCAATGAAAGCTCTGCATATTCAAATGTTAGATGGGAGAAAGAAACACAGGCCAAGAACACTTTTACATAAACTAGACGATCAGAGTAGATGGATGGCAACAGTGACCATGAAAAAGGTGGGTTTTGCTAAAACAAGTTGGAAGACGGAAAGGGCTGGAGACTGATCTTCAGTGAAAGTGTCATGCTTAAGAGAGAAAGTGCCTGAGAGTTAGAGGTGGGGAATGGTGAGAATGGATTCTCAACACTGTGAAGGGTGATAAAATAGGGAGGTGGAGAGGGAGAGGTGGAGCGACAATTTGTGCCCCATTCCACTTTTATTCCAAGATTTTAGTTTTCAAGTGTATACACATGAAACCATTAGGGGACAAACCAATACAAAAACTAATTATTAACATAAAAGCTTGGGTTCCCAACACTTTTTTCTTAGAAGGATCAAAGGAGTGAATATATCCTATAATGTAAAGGTTTTAAGTAAGGTACTGAAAAGCTTCCCTAATTAATTTATGGTCTCACAACTGTGTGTTTTCTGGAGACACACTTCAAAAATGTAGTGATTAGGGCCAACAAACAATATTTTTGAAATATTCAGGAAAGAGCATGGATTACCCAATACTGTAGTTATTTTAACTTGGCAAGAGTTTGTGCTAATAATCAGATAAAGAAATAAGCAGCAGTGGGCTGCTTTCCTCAGGAAAAATAGAGTTCATTACTGTGCTATTGCTCATCAATAGCTTCAAATTGAATATTAGCACTGAAACTGTGGGCAGAAAATATGGCATCGCCAATTTTAGTATATTAGGAGCATACAAAAAATGTGAAAAAGCACACTTCCTTAAACAAAAGTCAACACAGGACAATAATTTTATAGACAGGTAGTAGGCAGATAGAAAGATGTAAAGAGATAGACACAGATGATTATAG